CTGCTTCTTGTGAGCTTCTACTAAGCATAATACTGAAAATAAGAAATATACCAGCATATTTGATCAAAATAAACCACAACTCTTTTGTTTAATTTTAAATGTGAACATATTCAATGTTGACAGTATACAGAATTTTATACTATTTTTAATAGTAGAATATTACAGCAACATTTTGAAAAGTAAACACTTGAATACATTGCCCAAAATTCATTTTCTGCTTCTTAAGACAAAATATTTGAGCATATAAACACAAGTGCATGTTTTTTTTTTAAATTATTTATTTATAGATAATATGCTTTTAACTAATTGCTTTAAACATAAATTTAAACTTTGATAAATATTTACAATATTATCTATACAAGTTTGACCTAATTAACCCTAATTATCTATTTAAATATTATCTTATTGATCCATCCACTTTATGCTTTTAGTAGCACTACCTTTTCTATGATTTTTTTTTCTTGACAAGTTGTCAAAAGCAAAATATTGGGATTAAGAGAATTTTATTATCTTCACTTATTTCTTAAATTAACATCATTTACATATAGATTAGTGAGTAAAACAAGAGATTCTTTGGTTTTGTAACCAATATTTGATGGCAGTCAATAGTAAGGTCATTTCTCACATCTCTGTGCTGTTTAGCATGCTTATTTTAGTAATATTTTATTTATTAGTAACATTTCTTGTCTACATATTTGCACTGATAGTCATAATTTTTTACACATTTAACTGTTTTTTATATTTTAATAATGAATGAATAATCCATTATTTACCTCATAATTGTAGGGCTCTTCCATGTATTTTATATTTGAATTTATGCAAATTTCACTCTGCAAATTCAGTTATTATAAAATCTTTATATTGTAAATGTTGAAAACATATTGTATGTTTTCTCTCATTTTTCAATAGTTTATATTTTTCTTTCAAACTTAAAATTCCAAGTTCAATCAATTTATAAAGAAAAGTATTTTTGAATACTAATCTACAAATTCTTCTATCATTTATGTAATAAGAAATAAAAAAAATTACTTAGAAAATATTAATTACATAAAAAGTTTACAAGTAGAACTGACTCACAATAGGAATACAAACAATCATATTGTTAAATTTTTAATTCAAACCAACTTTTTACAATTTCATAGGTTTTTAATCTGGCAGTACTTTCTTTGTTTATGATTTCCTCTGATGTTGTAATTGCATGATACCCTTATATTATTATCATGTTATTTACATGAGTAAACTTTTCTTGTAGATATGAACAACCAAGAGGTGTCAAACCTAACAGCATGAGCACAGAAAATACTTTCACCCTCCTGAAATGCAGTGAAATGTAAAAATAGAATGAAGTTCTTGCATATTGTTTTAATGTTGTTATTTGCTTACACACACAAAAAAAGGATATAAAAAATCTATGTGTTTGAGTTTGAGTTTGTAGGACTTCAGAAAATAAAAACCTCTTTAGGAAGGACACAATATCCAAAGAACATAATTATAATTAGGGTGGATTTTATTTTTTTATTGATTTTATTTTAAAAAATAAATGACAGCAGAATGCATTACAATTCTTATTACACATATACAGTGCAATTTTCAAATCTCTGGTTGCATATAAACTATGTTCATACCAATTTGTGTCTTCATACATGTACTTTGGATGATGATGTCTATCACATTCCACCATCCTTGCTAATCCCCTGCACCCTCCCTTTCCCTTGACCCCTCTGCCCTACCTAGAATTCATCTATTCCTCCCATGTTTCCCCTCCTTACCCCACTATGAGTCAGTCTCCTTATATCAGAGAAAACATTCGGCATTTGATTTTTTGGGATTTGCTAACTTCACTTACCATTATCTTCTCCAATGCCATCCATTTACCTGCAAATGCCATGATTTTGTTCTCTTTTATTGCTGAGTAAAATTCCATATATATATATATATATGCCACATTTTTTCCTTTCATCCACTGAAAGGCATCTAGATTGGTTCCATAGTTTAGCTATTGTGAATTGTGCTGCTATAAACATTGATGTGGCTGTGTCCCTGTAGTATGCTGTTTTTAAGTCTTTTGGGTATAGAGCAAGGAGAGGGATAGCAGGGTCAAATGGTGGTTCCATTCTCAGATTTCCAAGGAATCTCCATACTGCTCTCCATATTAGCTACACCAATTTGCAGACCCACCAGCAATGCATGAGTGTGCCTTTTCCCCCACACCCTCTCCAACACTTATTGGTTGTTTGTCTTCATAGTAGCTGCCATTTTGACTGGAGTTAGATGATATCTTAAAGTGGTTTTGATTTGCATTTCTCTAATTGCTAGAGATGATGAACATTTTTTCATACATTTGTTGATTTTATATCATCTTCTGAGAAGTGTTTGTTCAGTTCTTGGTCCATTTATTGATGGGTTATATATTTTTAAATATTTAGAGCAAGAAACAAGAATATTTTATGAGTGTTTAGAGTGTGGCAATGGGATGAAAGGGCTGTGTTTAAGGACCCAATACCAAATGGGTCCTCCAATTTGTTGGAGGTTTCTGTGCACCTCTATATCCACTGAATTTCTGTAAGTTTACAGTGTTTAGGGACTGATAAAATGTTTGCTCAGCACTTTTGTAATCCCAGCAGCTCTGGAGGCTGAGATAGGAAAATTGCAAGTTCAAAGCCAGCCTCAGCAATGGTGAGGCCCTAAGCAATTCAATGAGACCCTCTCTCTAAATAAAATCAAGAATAGTGCTGGGGACGTGGCTCAGTGGTCTAGTTCCCTGAGTTCAATCCCCAGTACCAAAACAAACAACAACAAGTAACACTTGCTCACAATGTTAAGACTATTAAAAAAATTAATAGTGGGGTTGAGGTAAATATTACAACAGAAAGTTAATCCTTTATAATTTGCACATTATCACACTGGTGAACCACAACTGTGATGAGAAATACACTCATTCTTCAAAATATGAGGTAAAAGCAGGAGTGGTGGCACATGCCTCTACTCCAAGAGGCTTGGGAGGCTGGGGCAGGAGGATTGCACATTCAAAGCCAAATTCAGCACCTTAGTGAGGCCCTAAGTAACTTGGTGAGAACCTTTCTCAAAATAAAAAAAAAAAAAACAATAATCATTTAAAACAGGCTGGGGATTTGGCTTGATTGTAAAGCACACCTGGATTGAATCCCTGATACAAAAAGCAAACAAACAAAAAGACTAAAAGGATAAAATATTCATTTCCCTTTCCCTAAAGCAAACTTGCCTAAAATGTTATTTAAGATAACTGTAAGTGTGCAACCTATGCCTTATAAATCTACTCAAGGAGATACCATGTGTTATAAATGTGCACCTCACAGATGGAGGGAAATAATGAATGTGAAGAAGTGGAAATAATGACTACAGATTTAAAACTGTGTGAAACATGGCCAAAAAGTGCACAATGAACATGGATCGAGGGACCCTGTAGGAAGAGAGGGATTAGGTCAGTCTCCCCGAGAGGCACCGTTGCCCAACATGCAAGATTATCTGGAGTAGATGCTTATAAAGGTGATAGCAGATGGCACAAACTTGAGCAATGCTGCTTCTCTCTACTGCACACCTTGTGATGTCAGAGGAAGGAGAGCCCTTGGTGCAGTCCCATGATAGTAGGCAAACTTTATAATTCCCCTGAGCCAGAGGATCTAGGAGGATTTCACAAAATCATTTCTAATCGACTTTGAGTTCTCCATATATGCTGGTAGTAAAGAGATAACTGGCACGAAATGTTAGATTGTCTCTGACATTCTTTGTAAGAATGTCACTGGAAAAACCAATTAAAAAAACAAAAATAGGGAGATGAAGCACCAATAAAAAAATTTATCTGGCAATACATTAAAGGGCTTCACTGCAGGATGCCCGCACACAGGCTGGTGCAGAATTGGGCATGCCAAGAATGCAGTGAAGGTTGAGTTCATTACAAAGAGAAATCTGCACAGGTCATTCAGCAAGCAGGCAAGCTCTGAAAGGAGGGTTTAGCAGTTATTTTGCAAAGCTGGTCTTAATGTCATGGTGGCAGTTCCATCAACAGTTGTTAAAAGAACAGAAACTATAATCTTGATAAAAAAGCACTGGTACAGAGAAGATGACTCTCTCAACACAAACTGGTATTGTAAATGTATGAGAACAGGAAGTAAAAAATTATGTTGTCCATAAAAGAGAATATGGATCCAAGGTTACTGATTGATACTCAGGATGCAAAGTTGTAGTAGTGTGATTGTAGAAATTGCATAATTGCTCCAACGGTCTAACCTTTGTTCATCTGTTAGAGACAATTTTTTTATTAATATTTAAAAATGCATCTGAATCTTCTAATTCAAATTTATATTTTTCCAGATATAATTACTGATCCTTAGATCTTTAAATACACTACAAACATGTAATTCAATCAGATAAATGCAGGGCCTCTCTCATGGAAAATATGAACTTACCCCATGTCCCAATTAGTGATAAAATAACTACTAAATCTCAAGAAAATTTATTTATACTTCATACAACTATAAATTACCATTAGTGTAAGAAAAAGTTTGAAGCATTTATTTGAAGTAAATTTTTATATACCAAGCAAAAGTTTTGTAAACTGTGTAGTCTGCCTTACATGTAAATTATTTAAAAATTAAAAAGAAATTATTTTCAGTTACTTATGGACATTAAAATTTCAATGTAATTTTGTGATAATTTACTAAACACAGGAAAAAAATAAAATATGGTACAACCATTAGGTGGAATAATTTCAATAGTTTCTACTTTTTACTTTTTCATTTCAGCAAATCAACCAGATCCTAGTGCCTTCATGTTATTGGATAATACATGTCCATTATTTTGATGAGAAAAAATACAATTATTCTGTCTAATCTTAGTATTTCCACATCTTGTAGATTAATTTTAGTTCCTTGGCTGTAGTCACTGGATAAGGTTATTCTTGCCGTTTTACACTGTTGAATAAACGTTATCTGGGTTATAAGGATTAAAGCAGAAAACTTTGACTACATTTTCATGGGCCAAATTCTGTGAAGGACTCTTCTCAGGGCTCCGAACACCTCCTTGTTCCTCAGGCTGTAGATGATGGGGTTGAGCATTGGGGTGAGGATGGTGTAGAAGACAGCCAGAACCTTGTCCTCTGCTGGGGAGCGGAGGGATGTTGGGTGTAAATAAGTGTAAGCAAAGGGTATGTAGTAGAAGGTCACCACAGTGAGGTGGGTGCTGCAGGTGGAGTAGGCCTTCTTCTTCCCTTCCCCTGAGTGCATGCGGCAGACTGCAAGGAGAACCTGGCCATAAGAACATGCAATACCCGTGAATGGAACCATGAGAAAGAAGGTGGTGCTCACAAACACTGTGTACTCGTAGACCCAAGTGTCCATGCAGGCCAGACGCAGCATGGCGGGGACATCACAGAAGAAATGATTGATGGCTCTGGATCTGCAATAAGGGATATGCAGAGTATATACAGTGTGAGCACAGGAGTTGACAGAGCCCATCATCCAAGACCCCAATATCATGAACGTACACACTCTTTTGTTCATGCGGATGGGATAGTGGAGAGGAGAGCAAATCGCCACATAACGGTCATAGGCCATAGATGCCAGCAGCAGTCCCTCTGCACCTGCTAGAGTGAGGAAGAGGAAGTTCTGAACCCCACATCCAGTGAAGGAGATAGACTTGTTTCCCAGGATGAAAGTGGAAGCCATCTTCGGGACAATGGTGGAGATGTAAGTGAGGTCCAAGAGGGAGAGCTGACTGAGGAGGAGGTACATGGGGGTGTGGAGATGGGCATCCATGAGGATAAGCAGGATCATGGACAGGTTGCCAATGGAAGCCAGTAGGAAGATGAGCATAGTGAGTGCCAAGAGGACAAGGCCAGTTCTCGATGGTGGGAACAATCCCAGCAAGATGAAATCAGTTGACGTTTGATTATAATTTTCCATCATTCATTTAGGTTTTCCTACAAACACATGAAACAAAAAGTTACATAGACAGTAAGGTATTTTAGAATCATTCATTTTATTTTGACTGTGAATTATTAAAGTTCTTAGATAAAGAATAAACTATTCTGAAAATGGAATCCCATTTTCCTTCTTCATAAATATATCTTAAGGTAGCAAACATGGCCGACATTTTTATAAAACCTGTGCAGTCATGAAAATAGCATATTTCTGCAATGATTTTATTAGAATATGGGTATTTATTCCCCTACAGAATCAGCTGTCATCAAGATGAGCTCTTATGAGTAAGTGCATAGAAATCAATGTAAATGTCTAAAGTATAGCTCATATTTGGATACATTTTTCTCATCCCAGGGGCGGGGGTGACTTTTCTTCCATATTTCAGTCTTAGCTTTACCTCCAAAAATGAACTCATTTACCAATTCAAGTTTAAACAGTTAGTTCATTTTGTGAGCGATCATTACACATGACTGTTGGCATGATTGCAGCCATCTTCCTTTCCCCACCCCCACTTTACGAATACTGTTCTTATTCCCAAGAAATAGAAACTAGCCTGAGATAAAACGTACTGGTCTGGAGAGGTGCCAGTGTCTCCCTGTTCTCTCATTGAGAGATAGACACAGCTTACGAGCCCCTGAGATGGGTACATACTGGCTTCCCTGTTCTCTCCTTGTGAAGATAAAGGGACATGCCAGTTTCCCTGTTCCTCCTGAGAGATAGAAAAACTGCCTGTTTTGTTCCTGAGAAACAAACTTGCCTTCCACAAGATCAGAGGGTGTTTTCTGTGTCAATCAAGACTAAACCCTCCCCTAGCCTGTGGCCATGATTCTAGATTGTCAAAGGTGACATTCAAGGGGGTCGCTGCTGCCCTCCCTTGCTGTGGTTCTGGTCAACTAGTTGCTCGGCTACCTTGTCGCGGGGGGTAGAATCAACACAGAGACTCCAGGAGCTGGTGAGAGAACTGGCTGGAGACCCACCTCAGGTTGTCGTCCAGTAGCTCAGTTTATTTTTGGAATGCACACAACTGTTATAGGGTTCGAGTGGGCATGCCCGTCAATCATACATGAGCAAGATAGTGTCCATAAGCCAATCATCTTCTTCCTAATGTAACCACACTATGAGGATGTTCTAAATATTGCTATCATCAGGAAGGGTCTAGGTCCCTAGGGGAGGGGATTTCTAAGTTAGTAGTTCCATTCCTGAAGCTCCTGGTCCTCAGTTTCCTGACCTGGCAGCTTGGCAACAAGTGCTAAGGATGTGGTTTCACTAATGGCTCGCTAGAGCAGAGCATCCCATCCTGCAGGTGCTCCTATCAGGCCTGAACAAGTGTAGATTCTTCAAGCACTCCGAGCTGCTTACAGCTGCTAGCTGCTAGCTGTAAACTGAAAGTCATTCCAACATTTCCTCCTTGCTGCTGCTGTCCCTCTCTCTGCAGATCAGCCTTGTCAGGCTCCTGACAATAAACCCACTTCTTATCCCACGTGTGTGTTTGATCAGCCCTGCACCACTTTTCTTTCAATAATGCAGAATCAGATTCCCTTCAAATCAGGTGCCATCTTTTAGTTCATGTCTTCAAAAATCTATGATGTATTCTTATGGCCCAGTGTAAATTACCAAAGGTCCTTCTCCTCGCTTTCTCACCCACACTCAGAACGCTGTGGTAGACCCCTTCCCTGAACATCTGAACACCACAATCATCTGCTGGTGGTTATGCTGTCTCCCCTTCCCTACAGCTCATATGATATTACACCTTGCCTTCCAATGCCTTTCCTTGCTCCTTCTTTGTTTGCTCTTCTATTTCTTGTATTTATGTCTATTTTTATTTCAAAATAAGTATGGGAATTTGAGATCTAGTGCAGTGCTGTGGTTCTCTCCAGGGAAAAATGCCATCAGCAGAGAGCCCTGCTGGCCAGGCCCAAGAGTAGCCAGGTCCACTGGCTGAGAAAGCCTGCAGATGAAAGAGGGAAGCACAACATATATGTTCACGCACACACACATGTGCACCCACACATGCGGGCACCCTCATACACAGGGGCACACACAGAATGCCTTAGAAGAGAAGATGGGGAGGCCAGGTGCAGTGGTGCATGCCTGTAATCCCAGCAGTTCAGGAGGCTGACACAACAGGATTACAAGTTAATGGCCAGCCTCAGCAACTTAGTGAGGCCTTGAGCAACTTAGCAAGACCCTGTCTCTAAATAAAATATAAAAAGGGCTGGGGTGGTGCCCAGATGGTAAGATCTTCTGCATTCAATCCTCAGCACCAAAAAAAAAATGACAATGGGTATGCACAGGAAATTTAATGACAAATCATCAGAGTCACAGGAAAAGTGATTAAGTGTACAGGCAAATAAGTGTCATGACAACGAATAGTAGAGAACCAAAATAACTTGAAATTAAAATGATCACAATTGATATAATGGACTCAATGAGCCTATTAGAAATCTGAGACATACATAAAGTTAAGAGACACTACAAGAAAGAAAACTAAAGCAACATAGGAACACAAATGCTTGAAGTTTAGAAAAGGGAGAATAAGGGAAATAATATCAGATGGCCTTCCAATATGCACGGGCATTCCTGATAATACACGTGACATGAGTACTGAGTTAATAACGGTCAATACAACCAGTTTCTCCAAACAAACAAATATACATGCTCCATACTTTAACAGCATGTAAAGTTGAAAAAAATGAGAAATAATGTATTGAAAGGTATTTTATTAAAAATTCCAAATGCCATCTTAAATATAATCCTCATAAATTATCACTATCAGCTACAGAATAAGTTCCTAGAAGCTTCTTAAGGAAACATCACAATAGTGAGAATAAATGCAGAACAACAATTAAATACCTACAGATTTTATAATAATTTATATTTTATATACTATCAACAAATTAAATATGAAATTATGTTTTTCAACTGCTTCCCCAGATAGAAAGGAGGCTGTGGGTGTTTTGAGAGGATGGGCAGGGCAAGGGACATGAGTGAGGGGAGTGCAGGGTCCACGTCCATACTTGCTGGTTTGAGTCATAAAAGATGGCCTGACATTTTAGATTTAGGAATCAAGCATGAGATGAAAAGCATAGTGTTTAAAATATTAGCAAAATTTGGAGACAGTGAAGCATTCACTGTGGTGACAAGGGGGATGGTTTGGAGCTGGTTGTTTTATTCTGCGGATGTTGATGCTCTGTTTATGCGTTATGTGGATAACACCTTAAAATGTATAAAATCACATCAGGGTAAACAAATAGAAAGCTCTGAAAGTATTGCACATGTGAATCCTCAAGTGGCTAGTAAGAAACTCACCGTGGTACCCTGTGCCTCCATGCAGCAATCGATTCCTGAGGACTCTGTGGCCACTGGCATGGCTCAGGAAAATTTCTGGGAGAGAGATCTTTATCACACCCTAGCATTTGGATTCAACACAAGGTCAGCATATTAGGTGGGTACCAGAGCCTGAAGCTATGTAAATAGTTCAGATGATTGACAAGGTTGAAAGGTAAGCTATAATCATCAGTAAAATGAACATTGCCATTTCATCCACCATTGGCATTTTACATAGGACTGTCCACTATGTCCTGTGTCCCTGAGGCAGCTAATATACTCTGACTTTAATGGAGAGAAAAAAGCATCACCAAAGAGAAATAAGGAGGGCCATATCAAATCTGCTCTTTGGGATCAGAGCTCATGACTGCAAAGTAAGCATTCTTCCAATTATGTGTTTTCCTCTTCCTGTGGGATGATAGGCTCATTTAAATAAAGATTGCATCTGACAGGAAAGAGCTCCCAACATCAATATCTATATCAAAGTCTAAAAGGAAAAGAATACTTTTGTGTTTGTATAAAAAGATCCAAATAAACTATTTTCTCTTTTATTTTCATTCCTCCACTGAAGTAACAAATAATCTATTTATAAACCACTCACAAAAATTTTCACCTGTCTTGATTCCCCCTACAAGTTTGTGGTTTGGGCATTAACCTTAATGGTAGTATAAATATGAAGAAAGAGCAATAAAAAGAAAAACCTTGACAACAGCTTCTTAGAGAAGAAAACACTTGCCTTAGACAAGGTCTGGGCAGAGAAAGGAAGACAGGGACAGAAACTTTCCCGATAATCCCAGCTGTGGGAAACTGACAGATGCCAAGAACTTGTGCCACTTTCAAGTCACATTTTATCCCAACCTCTCATCCTTGGTGTTAATGGAAGCACTATCATTACATAGATTATAAAGTCGATTTAAAAGAGGCTGAATGTCTTTCCTTTGATTGCCTGTTAGTAATTTAGACTTAAGGATGGATAGACAGATACAGATGCTTACATTTTAGGCTTAGTTAAATTGATAACCTGTCTTTACACTTCAGTATTTTGAGGCAACAATTCAGAAATAAGGGTCGCTATCTTTCTAACTCTCCAAATTAAAAAAAAAAAAAGAATTAAGAAAAAAAACTAATAAAAGTGAAAATTTATTGTAGGTGTTAGAGGATTCAGAATTTGGGGGAAATGAACCTTTTTACCCACATAAGCTTCTGTAGTGCTTACAATTTAAATATTTCAAGATCTTGCTTTCTTCTACTTCTTTTTCATGTTATTTTTACCACATTTGCATTGTTCCACACACCCAGCCTCTTTAATTAGTGGTCCAGAAGACACACTCACCTGTACTTAGCACCCCTGTGTGAATTCTCCTTGTATTCCTGACAACAGCAAGGATCCCACTATGGGATTCTGCTTAAAAGGAGCAAGCACACTGTCTGCTTGTCAATCACATAGGATATGTAGGTCAGCGTGCTCCCCAACATTATGCCTGCATGTCAAAGGCAGGCTCCAGGTACACACTCATCCTTCGACTCTCCTTCCTCCTATCCTGAGGCCATATAGAAGGGTTGGCACCCAGGCTGGGTTCAGTTACAGCACTGCAGCCACTTTTGCTCAAACTCCACTTCCCCTCACTTTCTAAACGCACTTTCCTACCTTGATT